CCAAACCCTAAACCCTTAAACAACAGGTTGGCAGCCGTGAGCCCACCAACGAGCCCACAAACCAGCCCGTTGAGGCGGCGGGTCCGCCAGGACAGGTGGATTCCTAGCCCTTGACCCAAGGGTTTAGGGTTTAGGGTTTAGGGTAGTGGTTTAGGGTTTAGGGTTTAGGGTAGTGGTTTAGGGTTTAGGGTAGTGGTTTAGGGTTTAGGGTTTAGGGTAGTGGTTTACCGATCTTTTCCCCTTGTATCCATGTTGCATGTATGGCAGCACATAGCGCAAAACGCTACTTTGATTGCTTAGGCCATTGCCCTGTATATGTTGATTGATTGTCTCTGAAGATATTTAGTGGTATGAAGCCCTCGTGTACAGTGGGCCCAAGGCCTCGCTGTACACAGTTTCACTTTGGATACTGCCCTCACGTGTTAAGAGTTGGATAGTACGTGTAGTGCAACTATATAGAGCCCTTAAAAATGGCCCATAGTACTGTATAGACTGTCAGGGGCAGGACCCAAGTTTCACCCCAATCCAGATTGAAATTGGTTGCTCTTCGGAGTCTTGAACTTGTCAAAATCCACAGGATGCACCCCCAGAATCCGGATGACAATCCCTCTATGTACTCTTAGGCTCCTTCCTGTTTTCAGAGACTCCGAGTTAAAGAAGACACCAGCCTCGCACTCCAAAACTGGGGTTGCAGAGGAATCCATTGCAGCGAAAGCGCAAGTAGATTGCGGGTTCTGCTACCGCCCCCCCTAGGTTCTCCGGCTGATTTGAGACAAGTTTAGACTCTTTACCGGGGGAATCTTAGCGGTCCGTAGTCCGTAGCGCACAGGGGGTGTGGTTCCGCAAGCCCATGAGTAGAGATTTTCCTGCCAGGACAGTTTCACACCTTAGCTCCTGGGCGGCTTGCCAGCTATTAGGGGGGACCCTTAATGGTACTACCTAGTTATATAAGGGGTATACCCTTATAAGGTATTGGGATTAGGGGTCCCTCCTAATAACCCTTGATATTGGCATATGTCCCAGATCGGATGGAGGCTGACGCGAAAGGCGTTTTTGATGAATCAGCTTGCGCGTCTAGATAGTTCTAGAATGCACTGCCATGAATTCCTGCTGCAGTATTTCTAGGCGAAGGTGTGAAGTCTTCTGTGCATGGGGCGTATGGCAAGCACGAACCGCAAGAATCACTTTATAACGTGTACAAACCACAAGAGACTATGTATGAAGTGTTCTCAGAATTAGGGGTACCATGTTGGGGATCCCAGTGATAAGGTTTATAGTGCTCGGGGTCTGTATTGGGGTCCCGTTGTTTATGGAAACCACCATGGGCCTTTCTGGTAAGGGACCGCCACCTAAACCCCAAACCCCAAACCCTAAACCAAGAAGCCCTATGCCACGGAGGGAATCATCTCTTCACGCTGTGCTGCGGAACCGTAAGCTGCCTGCACGGTTTATAGTCCCCTTAAGTAGATAGAATTTGGCTTTGGGTATATTATAACAACATCCCCATATACCTCATATTCTGTCTACTTAAGGGGGACTATAAACCCTAAACCCTAAATAGTAGTTTCCATTTTCTTTTCCATTATCCCTATATAACCCCTATAATTGACCCCATATTCTCTCTACTTAAGGG